AGCATAATGTAGGCCGCCCTTGATTACGCTTCAAGGACAAACTTAAATACAATTGCTGCAAACATCCCTAGAGAGGAGTTCGAACTTTCTGTTAAAAACCGATCAAAATGGAGAAATACCTGCCACCGAGGTATAACTAACTTTGAAAAGAATCATCTCAACCATATGAGAGAATTAAGAATTAACAGTAAATCTCGGGTTAATACATCAACCCATATGATGGTCAACCCTCCAACATGTCCCTCGTGTTAACTTGTTTGCAAAACCTGTGCAGGATTGTTGTCTCATGCGAAACATAAACATAAAAACTGAACTGAAAGATACTCATACGTCAAAAATGACGAGAGAGTCCATCATCATATATATAGGATTAACATAAATAAAATTTTGTCACTTAGCTGATTGATGTTACCTTCAGCATCCCGACTCCAGCATTTCGTAGGCAGACATGTCCGTAAACTCTACAAAGGGTATCATCAATTTACTGCTTATATTTTTTTCGATATTTTCCTTTTTATATATATTTAACATTGGTGTAAATTCTTTTCTGTATTTTTTTATGTTCGTGTCTGCGTTTGTGCGCGTGCAGCCATTACCCCGTCTGTGCGGATGTGCGTTTGCTCGCGTGTGCCCGTCTGTGCGGATGTGCGTTTGCTCGCGTGTGCCCGTCTGTGCGGATGTGCGTTTGCTCGCGTGCGCCCGTCTGCGTGGAAGTACATATGTATAGGGTTTCGTGATTTTTTTTTTTTTTTTCGTTTTACCTCGGTCATTTAGCCTTTTCTCTTTTCTTACCTTTTTTTCTCCGACTGTTGCAGATATTGTCGGGATTTGTTCAGATTCTAAATATGTGACTGATTTTTATTTTGGGGCATTCTAGTTTTTTGCTTGGGAAGATGTATTTCGTTTTTTAGATAAGTAATTGATATTACTTTTTGGCTTCATATTATAAATGGTGAGATATCTCTCACATTTTAAAAGTTGACAAAAAAATCAAGTAACTGCTATGAATAAATGTATTTCACTGTTGTTTAAAGAAAGATCGATTTTATTTATTTTTATTTTACTATTTTTAAATGAAATCCTTTATTACCACCATTGATAGCCGCCTGGCATGTCTTTGGCCGTCGAAACAAATATGCATTTTGTTGCGGTAACTTGCATGTTCCAATGTAACAGTTTATAATAAATATCTATGGCTCTACTTTTGTATAGAGCCCTTTTTTAAATTAATGATATGAACGTTTGAATTTATATTATTTTCGTTCTTTTACAATTAAATATATATATATATATATATTAAGACATTTTTATGTTTATACATTCTTTCTATAGATACAAATATTTAAGTAAACGCTCTGTTTTATAATAAAAATGTCTTAAAATAATGGTCGGACTTTGTCCATTAAATAATGTGTGATGCCATTTGTTCTTTGAGCAGATATGAATGTACGTGAGAGATTAATGGAAGATTGTAGTTTAAAAACAGTAAAATCGACCTTGCTAACCGAAACTCTCCTCTGTGGCGAAATCGGTAAGATCACGTCAGGCTATACGACAGTTACGTATCGGATACAGGTTCGATTACTGTCGGAGGACGCATATTTTATACGACAATTTCTCGGACATTCAGGCCGGTAAATGTTGTTAATACTGTTTATCATAAACAGAGTATTTAAATACTTTTATCTATAAAAAGGAATATATAAACATAAAAATGTCTTCTTAATTTATTTTTATTATATATATATATATATATATATATATATATATATATATATATATATCCTTCCTGTGATGTCATTTAAAAACTACCATATACTTACATTCTGTTTGGTCATCATAAGTTAAGAAAGTTTCCCCTACTGAGGGGATTTTGAACTCATAAAATCGTTTATTTTACATTCAATAGCATCACTTGATATATCACTTGATAAGACACCAGCAGTGCTGAAACAAAATTGAGACCTTATAGTGATCTTATAACATGTATTAATATGTATAAATTTTGTTATATATATATATTATATATATATATATATATATATATATATATATATATAAAAGTGAACATAGAAGTCAACACTTAGAGGCGACAGTCTGTTTCATGCTATATGCAATCGTCAGGCCACATATGCTGTTATTTTTCTCGGCTATTTATATATATACGGGTTAGTGGTGCATTGTGGGTATTCTATTATGGCGGTTATTTTTACCGGAAGTCGCTTTTGTTTATTTATTTGGGTCAAATTATATTGCTCGTTTTTTTATTTTTTGTTTTTTATTTTATTTATTTATTTATTAACGTAGTAAAAATTTGTTTATATCACTTATTTAACAGTTTTGTTTTGGTTTGAGAATTTAATTAAAGCTATTTGTTCAATTTTGGGGTTGGTTGTTGTAGTTCATCCTAACTATTATTTTTGGCGGGAACAGTTTTTAATTTGGGATTGGTTTGTCTATTTATTTATTTTCTCTTTTCGGTTTTTAAGCAACATAGTATTTTATTTATTTGTTTTATTTTATTTTTTTATTTTTTATTAGTGTATTTGTTTGTTTTTATTTTATTTTTTCCGTTTTTCATTTTTTAGGTTACGTAGTAAAAATTTATTTTCATGCCTGCATTTTGAGATGAGCTCGGATCTCTTTATTTAATAATTTATTTTGGTCGGGGAAAGTAATGATAGCTATTTTTTTCCCAAGCAAAGTTTGCAAGTTTTTGATTGGTTGTTGTAGGCTGATGACTTTTTTCTTATCTTCCAAGATATTTTTGGTGTGATGTGCGTTTTGTTTTTTATTTCCCAGATATACTTAGAAAGCATAGTACCGTTCGCATATTTACTATTTGTGAACGATGTTTTGTGTGTATAATTTCTTTGCTTCCAGGGTCCTTCAGTTACTCCTATGTATATTTTTCTTCTTCATTATCTGGTGATTTTATCGTGGCTTGGTATATTACGTTGTTTTGTAAACAATTTCCGTTTAAGGGACATTCGTTCTTTATTCTGCAGTTGCACGTGGGTTTAATTTGTTCGTGTGGTTTGTGAATTTTCCTATTGTGCTTTTTTATTATTTGTGCCATGTTCTCGGTGCAGCTGTAGCTGATTTTTACTGTGTTTATGTTGAATATCTTGTGTAAGGTGCTTGATTCTGGGAAGTGTTTGTGTAAGAGTTTGAAGAATATTTTTCCTACGTTTGTTTTTACGTTCTTGCTGTACGGTGGGTTGAACCATATGATATTTCTTCTCCTGTTGGTCTTTTTTGTATTCTGTGGTGAGTATGTGAGTATTGCTGGGAATCCGCTATCTTTTAGGGCCGTTTCATAGTCTTTCTTAGCTTTGTTAAATAGGGATTCATTGGAGGAATTGTCGGAGAGCCTGCGGTTAATCGATTTTGGTATCTGTTTGATTATAGAAGGCGGATGGTTGGAAGATGTGTGTATGTAGAGTGGTTTATCGTTAGGTTTTCTGTATGGTTTATATGTGCCTTCTCTTAGGTTGAAGGCAACATCTAGGAAATCTACTTCGTTTAGGTTACTTTTTATATCTATGTCGAATCCGTTATTTTTAAAAATCTTTATTATTGCTTTTCTAGTTTTGTCTGTGTTTTGTTTGTTACAATTTCTTAAGATTATGAGACCGTCGTCTCTGTAGAGTCCTGTGTCATTTTTATCTATTATTTTGCTCAGTTCGTGTAGTAAGTATATATCTATAGGCAGAATACCTTCATTCAAACATGTTTCATTGAATAATGTAGACATATTTTATCTATTTTAAAGTGATCCTTTCTAGTTGTCTAATCAGTTTCTTGATGTTAAAATGGAATCCATCAAGGAAGGTGCCATAGTTTTTTCGGTAAATTTTCATTTTAACACCCGAGTGTCATTCACTGCCGAACTATTTTCTTTCAGTAATTAGTACGCGCTTCCATAAAGCGATTTTTTTTTTACTTAATTTAAGAAGAAAGTTAACTTTATGTGAACATCGACAAACAAAAGAATAACAAAAGAAAAAAAAACACCTAACCCTAATTTGAAAGTTAACTTTCTTCTTGAAAAAAAATAAAATAAAAACATAACAAAAAAAAACAAAAAACAAAAAAAACACCTAACCCTAATTTGAAAGTTAACTACAAGGAATTGTTGTGAAGGAAGTAAATAGGCCCAAAAATTTTATACGTCCACCAACAAAATTCAGCACTGAATTACTTATCAATAAGCCGGTAATGGCTGACGAAAGACCAGGAAAAAGTCCGATTTTTTTCGGGTCGTTAACATCCAAAAAGGTAGGTTTCTTCAATATCTAATTGTTGATTTGAGTTCAGCATATACATTTGCACGGAAATAAGACTATTTTGGAAAAATTTGAAGGGATATTAGGTAAATTGCAACTACAATCTTATTGTAATAGAATTTAAATTTGCATTTCGTTGTTATGATGATTTTTAAAAACATGCGCGAACGCCCTCTGTAATTCATTTAAGATTTTAAGTTTATCCGTTGTAGCTAGGGAGATTTTTTTGCAAAACAAGCGTTTCAATTTATTATTTTCTGTTTTTCTCTTTTAAATTAACGTGTTTTTCATATATTTTTTCCCTCATTTTTAAGCATTCTCCCTATCTACTGTTTTTCTTGATATTCGTCTGCCTCATCCATTTTGTCTGTTCATTTCATTTACTTACTCCGATAATCATTTTCTATTAAACTAAAAGAGTTAAAAAAAAAAAAAAAGGAAACGAAAAGTAAAGAAGATGAAAATTAAGAATACTTATCAGTCCAACACTTTTGTACTAAGTTTTCGTTGCTTTTTTATTTATTTTATTTCTTTTTCATTTTTTTTTGGGGGGGTGTCTTTCTGCGTTTTTGAGATTTGAGGTCAAATGGGGTATTAATTTGAGGTCAAGTTCACTCCATCATCAGTAAAGTTCGTTCAGATGTCATTTCGTCTCTGTTCGCTGATGGCTTCAGAGGGAAAAATTCGACTTTTATGTTTTCTTAAACGCCGATGTTTGCTGTCTTTGTAAATCGTTCTTGCCAGGCGTCATTAACGATCGACAAGTTCGTCACCATTTTGAAGAAACAGCTGCCTTTTAAAGGTTAGGGAGACGAACAAAAACACACGAAAAACTATTAAACGTTTGCTTTTAAAAAAATATGTATGAGTAAACCTACTGTAGATACTTTCAGGAATAAATTATCGCATATCATTTGTAAACAAAAAAAGGATCTCTTGTAATCTCGCACTCTCTCTCTCTCTTTCTCTCTGGCTCTTTTGCTCTCTCTCTCTCTCTCTCTCTTTTTTCTTTTGCTTTCTGTCTTCCGCTCTCTCTCTCTCTCTTTCATTCTCTCTTTCTTTTCGCTCTCTCTCTTTTGCTCTCTCTCTCATCTCTCTTTCTCTCTCTCTTTTTCTCTCTCTCTCTCTTTCATTCTTCTTAATTTCTCTTTCAATCTCGTACTTTCTCTCTTCTCTCTCTCTCTCTTTCTTTCGCGCTCTCTCACTCGTACTTTCACTTTCGATCTCTCCTTTCTTTCGCCATTTCTCTTTTCGCTCTATTTTCTCGCTATTTCTCTCTATATATCTATCTATCTTTCTTTCACTCACTCTCACACTTTCCCCCTCTTTCTATCTTTCGCTCTCTCTTTCATGCTTTCTCTCTCGCTCTTTTTCTCTCTCTTTTGAGCTCACTCTCTCTCATTCTTTCACTCTCTCTCGCTCTCTCTCGCTCCCTCGTCCTTCACATAGACACACACACAAACCCAGACATATACACAATCTTCTATGGGTGTTGTCTGTGTCTGTTCCCAAGATAAAGCTTAGACTACATAATTTATTTCAATGATATATTACTAATTAATTTTAACATGTTAAATGTTTTATCGTCTTCTGGTATCTCGTACATCAGAGACTGCATTTTTTCATAAATTCTTGAAACCTTCCCATTTGTTAATTTATTATTGCGTTTCATCTAATATTCTATAATGTGACTAATAATAAGTATTACAATAACATGTATTGCAAATACAAATTAAAATATGTCTAATCAATAATACAATCTAAATAATAAATACGAATGTCACTGTGTCACACTTATTCAACTTTACTCCTAGAGGTCGTAGCCCAACATATCATACCATTTTGGAATCGGACCCACTTTAGGAGCAAATTAAAAATATTCCGGGCCGGATTTGGACACGCAATCCAGAAATTTTGGATTCCCCAGTTTTCATGGCTGCAATTGTTTTCGGAATCCACCATCTTGGCATCTACTGATAAAAAAAAAACAATTAAAGAGACACTACACTCTAATTTTCAATAGCTCATGTTCAAATGTAAAAATTAATGTTCTCAAATTATAGTGTTTCAAAATAAAATTGTCCGTATTTTCAACTTTAGAAGCCGTATCCCAACGTATCACACCATTGTGGAATCAGGCCGCAATGCTGAAATTTTAGAATTCCCAAGTTTTCATTACTGCAATTGTTTTCGGCGATTTTTACATGATTTTTCGTGACGAATTTTTTGGAACGACCTCAGTTTTTATAAGTTGGAAATAAATTTGGGAATAATCGAAATTAATTGCGAAATCCAGCAAAAGTCACCCATGAAATAAAAATAAATGTTTGTACAGAAAGTAAGGACCTACATACATCAAATGGTCTTTAAATTAAGTGGCGACAGAAGAATTATCGTTGAATTTTTAAAAGATAAGCTTAATTATTAATGCAATACATAAATGCATCAATCAGTTTTGAGTTCTTTTGTAGATTATTGTTACCTATCGCATCTCCTCCTCTCTACCTATTCTCATGAAGGTCTAATCAAGAGCCCTCCGATGGTGCTAGCTTAAATGCCGACTTTTGATAGGGCGGCTTTTAATCTGCCCTGATAATATTTTTACCTCATCATTGTATCATGAATTGCCTTTAAAAGTGTTATGTGGTGTACGAAAGGTTTTTCCTCATCTGTATGAGTTCGAATCCCTCGTCGCCAAAGTTGTTATGTAGTGGTTTCACAGTGGAGGCTTGTATTTGTACTAAGTCGGTCCTAAAATAGGTTCGACGTACAAAACGTTAGGAACTTGATAAAATAGGTAATGACGCAGTAATCTAGTTGGGGTGGCTGATACTTCAATATCCGACTAACGGTCGTCCGACATCAACTGACCAACTCACTGCCGACTGACCTGTTACTCTTACTATTCCTACTTATTATAGGTGGGATAGTCTATTAACTAAAGAATAGGTGTGTTTCACTGTAACAAAAAGGAACCTAACGGGCTTATGGATAGGTCCAGTAAATAAATAAAAGCCCCTTGAAAATGGTTAAAGAAATGGTTAAAAGCGTTTGGGAATTCTGGGCTCCCTTACTCCTACAAAACAGAAAAACATAAGGATGCTAAAAAAAAAAAACTAAATAAAAAATTAAGTAAATCTTCTTTGTCTGCTGTATTTAATGAAATGTGTTTAAAGAAATTTGCTGCTTATATATATATATATATATATATATATATATATATATATATATATATATAATATACGTATGTAAAAATAGGAAAGAACACGTTAGGTAAATAATCCGGAGTTCTTTAGTGTTTTTGTTTTTATTTAAAAAAAAAAAAAACAGTGCTCCATACAGAAGTAGAGCTTAAATTATAATTATTTAAAAAAAAAATATGATTACTTCGCTACATAAGAGTTCTCCTGTTTCAAAAACAAGAGCCAAAAACCTCAATATAATTATTAAAATTAAATTGAATTAATGTATCAAGCCCTGTTTCATCCTCAAGCGAAAATTTAGGAATAACCAACCTTGAAATTTACACATCTTTATAAGCATGTTTATTCGTAAAATTAATTACTATGGAAACGGCTGGAGCGGCCATTTTGATTAGGAGCATAAGAGTTAATTTTATCCACATATCAGTCACCTTCGATGGCATTCATGTACGCACATCGTCTCGTCAGTCACAACAACAGATAGCTGTTGGCACCATAATACGTCGTTAAGTGTCTAAAGAATTTTTTTTTTCCTAAAGGGCTGTTTCGTACATAAACGCGTCGCACTAAACTACAATTTGTTTTTTTGACGACTTCATAAGGGCTTTTTCTATCTTATGATTGGGTTAATCTTTTAATCCTTTTATTAGACTATGAAATTTTTTTTTTTTTTTTTTTGTTAATTATTTAATGCGAAAATTTGTTAATGTCCGCAAAAAAACCGTTAACTCATGTCTATGGTTTCATAAATTTTCCTTATTTAGAAACTTAATAATATGTAGTTTTTCATGTAGGCATAAAGGGCATGGGTCATTCCAGGTTTTACAAGTTCTTGTTCTATTTATTATTTTCTATTTTATTTTTGATGTTTTATTCATTTCTTTTAAATGCCAAAAATATTTGGATAGAGATGTCTGATTTCTATTTCTAATATTATTGAAGGAGCTTTTGTGTTGTCTCCATCTAATTTTAAATCCATTCTTCGTTGGCCCAATGTATATCCTTTCAGTGTTAGGACTCTCAATGGATGAGATAGTGCATTGGTATACCACAGATTTTGTGCGGCATTTATTTTCCAACGGGCAGTCTTCAGGGTTTCTACAATCACATAATTTTTTTTTTTTTTTTTTTTTTTTGTCTAATTTTTGTTTAGGATTTTTATTAATACTGTTGTGGCATGCGTGTTTTTCCAAGATTTTATTATTATGTTTTTTATGATTATTTCTAGATTTTCAGTGCAACTGTAACTTAATTTTAAGGTGTTTTTATTGAAGATCTTGCTAAGTCTGCTATTAGTAGGAAAGTGTTTTTCAATTAAAGCTAGGAACTTATGTCCTAGCTTAATACTAACCATTTGGTTGAACGGAGGTGTATACCAAATGATTTTTCTTTTCCTGTTTTTCTTCTGGTTAGTTCTATTGTTTCTATAATTTATGTTAGCGTTTTTGTATCCCGCTACTTTTTAGGGCTGTGTTATAAAAATTACTGTGGAATATTTCTTTATGAGCGGAGTTCATGATTCTTTTCTCTATTGATGTGGGTATATGCTTAATTATAGATGGAGGATGGTTTGACTTAGGGTGTGCACACAAGGGGTTAGCGTTTGTTTTCCTGTAAGGTAGGTATGTGTTGTTAATTAAGTCTAGAGTTACGTCGAGGAAGTTTACCCTTTTTAATTTATTACTGACTGTAGTTTTTACATTTAGTTTTCGGAATTCACTAGATATTATCTTTCTAATTTTATCTATTTTAAAATTTGTGCAGCTCCTCACTACCATGAGCCCGTCATCTCTGTATAGCCCGATGTCCTTAATGTCTAATTCACGGTGCGCGGTAATATTATATAGTATAAATAGACCGACAAAGTCAGAAGACTCTGCAGAGTCTAAAGATCCCATGGTGATGTCAAAATTGTCATTAGTGTTTTTAATCCATTGGTCCCCATTATGAATGAAGACAGATTTTTTTGCACTAAGAATTATGTTTATTTCTTCCTTAGTTAAGTCAGAATATACAGTAGCAAACTCCTGGGCAGTCGTGAAGAGATCCCTTGATATTGACTGGTAATAATCCACAATATCAAACTGTATTAGGCTGCAATCAGGCTTATTGTTGATATTGGTAAACCAATTGATGATTTCTTTGGTATTAATCCAGAATGTTAATCCAAAGCAGTTTTTGATCTGCCTAGTGATCCTTTCTAGGATTCTTTTGTTTATCTTTCTTATGTCGGCTCGGGTTGGATTTATCATTCTAGTAGTGGAGTCTTCCTCAAAATCTTGTTCGTGGTCCTTAAGAGTGATGAAGCATTCCTTTACAGCTAGTTTGACTACGCAATCGCTTATTTTTAATTTTTCATCAATAATTTTACTAGTTCTGTTGATACTGTCTACCATATTAAAATTGTTATTATAAGCTTTTTTTATAAGTCTTAGCTAATTTTTTTAATTAATTTGTTGTAGTCGTCTGCCGTAACCGTAACCCTAACCCTTCTACAAATTGACAGTAGACACATTCTGTGATTGTAATATCATGGATTACAACGTATTTTGTTCACTTTTCACGGTTTATTCTGCGATTTTAACATCACGGCTTACAGAATTTCTCGAATGTAGTTAGTTCGCATTGCACGGCATTTTTTTACAATTTGAACCGCACGACAAACATTATTTCGCCAATGCATTTTGTTCATATTTCACGGACTAGTCTACAATTGTAACCTCATTTCTTCGCAAACATATTTATTTGGAATTTCACGTACAATTCTACGATTGTAAACTCACGGCATACATTAGTTCAATAGAGTATATTTCACGGCCTATTCTACGATTTTAACCCCATGGCTTACATTATTTCACTAAAGTATTTCGTCCGAATTTCGCGGACTACTCTACGATTCTAACCCCATGGCTTACAATATTTCGCTGATGTATTTAGTTTGTATTTCACGGCTTATTCGACGATTTTAAGTTTCCGGTTTACATGATTTCACTAACATATTTTCTTCGCATTTCACGATTGTATACTCAGGCGTACAATATTTCTCTAACGTATTTTTTTTGTATTTTACGGCCTATTCTTCGATTGTAACCCCAGGGCATACAGTACTTTGCAAACGTATTTAGTCATTATTTTCACGGCCTATTGTACGTTACCGATATAATGTAAGTGGTGAGGCACCACTTACATTATATCGGTAACGTATTTAGTTCACATTTCACGGCCTATTCTAC